AATGGGTCTGTTATAGCGATGTGCTTCAATGTCAGCTTTTTATTTCCAAAAGAAGAAATCAAACATTATCTGATTATTATCAAACATTTTGGGAGAATACATTGAACATAATGCTGTTTAAAGAATTGCTGCATTGATCTATCCTAAACGCATTCGTATGAACTTTTCGCTTAACTTGATGAGCCTTCTTATTTCTTTGTCTGATCTATTTTTTACCTTTTGATCTTTAATCGTTTGCATTTCGAATGATTTTAATGGCTCAGAAAGAATGATTTAGATAGTCTTGGCGGGCTGATGCAGTGGTTTAATTAGTCAGATCTATCTATTTCCTTTTGATCTTTGGTTGTTTGCATTTCGAAAGAGTTTAATGGCTTAGAAAGAATGATTTAAGTAGGATTGGTTTAATATGAGATGTTCATGCGAATTAGTGGTTAAATTTAGTGTTAGTTTTGGCAGGCAAGGGTGGCAATGGCTAGCTCCAAGGGATCACAGAGTGTTAAAGACTTGATGTATCCAGGAAAGCATGCTTTGCTCCCTCCCAAAATTCCGTTTCCTACCGTATCAGCACCGTATTCTGAGTATATTCCCAGTGTTGGTTCAAGGCATGGTCAGAAGCTTAGTGATGAGAAAACGAACCACCACCAGCGCACTTCCTCTGAGAGCCAATTGGTAGAAGAGCCTCCCTTTTGGCTTGATGATCTTCTCAATGAGCCAGAGAGCCCTGTTCGCAAATGTGGTCATCGACGTTCATCAAGTGACTCTTACGCTTATCTAGACAAGGCTAATGCTAAAAACATTAGTTTGACTCTCCAAAATGATTTCAGTTATAGGAATACGGGTTCTTCTCCCAGTCATAGAGGAATTCAGGAGCTTGATTGGAATAGAAATGCTCAGGACCCAGCCTTTTACTCTGATGCTAATTTTCTAAATCAGACAAATCGACAGCGGGATTCTGTGGTGGCATCTGGGGCTCGTCCTTCTTGGCTACCTTTCACTCGAGAGAGTGTCGGCGGAAAACACATGGGAGCATCATATATGTCTCAAGAAACAACAGTAATATCAGAAACAAAGAACTACGCCAAAACTCTTTCTAATGACCCAAAAATGTTCTCTTCTGAAGAAAAAAACTCCAATCCTCAGCCTGTGACATATGAGGCTGACAATACAAGACGAGCCAAACAGTATGTGATCTCTTTACTCGTTCCTGTTTGATTTACCTTTCCGAAGCCATTTACAATGGAAGATATTCCTGCCATTTAACCTTATTATCAGCAATGATGAATGACCCCTATGGCTTTTTGATTCTTTAGTTTATGATTCTTGGTCTTATTGACTTGAGGATAATTTACATCTAGGAATAGCATCTTTGTATGTTAGGTAGTGAGAGATGAGTGATACTTAGGCAACTGGTTGATTGATTATTGATGTTTACTTTAGTTTCCAGTATCCTAACGTGTTTAGTTGATGCTTCTTGCAGGCAATTTGCACAGCGGTCACGGGTCCGTAAGCTCCAGTACATATCTGAGCTAGAAAGGAATGTACAAGCATTGCAGGTAAGGCTAAAAACACCTGCGTACATATTTAAAGCGAGAGTTAGTGAAAGATGTATTAGGCCATTGTTGGAGCATTGAAGTATGGCATTCTTTTGTATCTATAGGCAGAGGGATCCAAAGTTTCAGCTGAGCTTGATTTTCTCAACCAGCGGAATCTTATTCTGAGTATGGAAAATAAAGCTCTTAATCAACGGCTAGAGAGTATAGCGCAGGAGAAGCTGATCAAACAACGTAAGTTTCTCCCACCTAACCAAAAAATATCCTTTTAGCTTCTTTAGATCCAAACTCTAATCTTAAGTATGAATTTTAAGTATTAGCAAGATTAAACATTACCTAACTGACGGCTACCCCCATTTAATTGCTACTTTCATAAAAAATGTAAACTTAATATTCATACTAACCAACAAGTTTTACAAAGCAACCATCTCACAAATTGTGTACTCTGACTCAGAAAAGAGAATTAGGTTTTGTAGCAAAGTAGTACTACAACTCATGAGTTATCTATTATCCAGTGGAACAGGAAGTGTTGGAAAAGGAGATTGGAAGACTACGAGCTTTGTATCAGCAACAACAAACTCATCAGCCATCAGCAAGTCATGGACGTGCTTCTACTAATAAAGATCTCGATTCCCAGTTCTCGAGTCTTTCCCTGAAACCCAAGGATTCCAACTGTAGGCATGACTCTGTATCTGTGATGGGTCAATTCCACTTTTAGTCGATGAATCTCTTACCCACCGGGTTCATTAGGTCAAGGGCCTGGCGTTTCAACAAGGTCAGGCCCTAATCTACTGTCTTGTAATACTCCCTCACCGCACATGTTTTAACTCCCCGGTCATCACTTTTTCCATTACCTGAGGTGGTTTAGTTCGAAGATCAGACACCTGGACTTCATTCATCCGGTGATTGTTGTAGCGACTTGTGATATGGTTCTAATATATTGAACCCAGACGAAATAAAAAACACTGATCTGTGGAGTTGTACTACGATCTCTACTGTTTGTTTGTATTTTATGTTATTGGTAATGTATTCGAGTGAATGCTTCATGTAAAGTTGATGACATTTCTCTGTTGTAAGCTTTCCCCAAGTGTCAAGATATTTGATTACTTCAGAATCTTCCTCGGTCCTTGTTTCACTGCTCTTAGCCAATCCGTCTAAAGGCCCTACCGGCCTATAAGCTTGGACAATTCAGGTCCTGTGAAGTTCAATCATTGTTTTTTCATACCCCTTGTTTTAAATTATAGCCTTATTCACCTCTCTCCATTGGCCTGCATCTTCACTGGTTCTTTGTGACAACAACACATGTACCGATTCCACTTTTTTCTATATATTTCAAAAGAACCCATAGAAAATTTTGAATAGGGCCATCCGTATTACCTTGTGTATCTAGAGTCTGAAAAAAATGAGTCATAATGTTTTCTGAGAATCCGTTTACAGGGAAAGGAATGTGAGACATATCGAGGAATTGATGTGTAGTAGGACACCGAAACAGAACATGGAAAAATTTGCTAAATTATGACTATAAAGAAGAATTAATCTAATATCTCTGGATTAAAAATAAAGTTTTGAACATTTAAACATGTGAGAGTTTAAATAAACAGTTTTCTAAAAATTGATATTTATTTGTGGATTTTTTTTGTTTTTAGATAAATAAAACCATTTTCGAAAAAATTGTATATTAAATTATTAATGAATATTTTTTCAAAAAAAAAGTGTTTAATCGTTTTGACTATAGTAAATTTTTAAAACCCATAGTTTTCCAGGAAAGAATGACTACTTAATCTTGGAGCAAAGAAAGTAATTGCAATGACAATAATTGATATATACTATATACTTTGTATGTACGTAGTTATGATATTCAAAAATGGAGCCATCAACCATTTCTATAATATTAAAAGAGAAATACATTTAGGAGAATGTCCAAAATTAATTCCAATATTATTCAAATTGCCATTGTTTTATAACTAAATTGATTAAATTGAAAAAGGTAATTTTGAACTAATGCAATGGCAATTTCAGTAATTTTGAGTACAATTTCGYCTATTTTTATGWTARGAKTTAYRTYCATTTTCGTTTTTATTTTTBWGYCARATTAATGYRATTTTTGTTATTTWAMGAAAGTTTTGTAAAATCAGCATTAATTCACAAATATTTAATTACCAATCAAATTTTTTTTAAAATATTTAATATCCGTTTTATATCAACATATAATCAATTTTAAGAATTAGATCCCCCATTCATCTTTGCTTGATGATATTTTTTATATACAAATTAAATAATA